CTTTTTTTGCTGTTTCTCTATGATTCTTGAAACAGTACAATTAACTATTCAAGGAAACATTTCTAATAGATCACTAAAAGCTTTAGCAAATAAGAGTAGAAAGAAAATAAAATTTTAGGAGAGGTAATAAATCAGATTCAGCATCAGGAATTGCTTGTGGAAAAACCAAACATTGTAGGTAATAAAGGAACAAGAGTTTTAGGGCTTTCTAAAGAAAATATTTAATCAGGATCTGTTAGGATAAATGCTCTAAATATTCCCACTGCAGTAAAGCTACTACAAAACCATTACCTAACACAGGTATTTAAAATGAGGCAGAAAGAAGATAGGCAAACATAGAAGGTCAAAAAGTTTTGTATTATACTATAAGTTTTACGCACAGGCTAGCTCAAGCATCTTATCACTAAGGAAAGATTGTAAATCCTTAGCAAGCCAAACAGGAGGAATTCTCCTCAGTGCTTACCTCCAGGGGGGTTGTAAATCTTTAGCCAACCTAGTTCAGAGGATTATTAACAACCCCTAATTAACTAACAATAAACCACATAAACAGACCACAAGTTTAACAAGCCCCTAGCCCTCTACTCGCTAAATTGGCAAACAAGTCACTAGTTCTATGTTTGCTCTGCTTAAGAGGCTATTAGGCCAAGATTTTTTGTAGACACTGCCTTTAACCAGATCGCCTTCAGTTAAAATATAAACTTTGTAAATGTTCCGGGTGATATGTCAACTTTAAGGAGCTTCTTTGTAAGATTACTACAAAAGTGTTGACTTGACTTCAGTAAAGCGCAGTAGATCCAAACCAACTAACTGCTGTGGTCTCTGTCATTTCGCCTATCTGTGCCTTCCTGATATCCGAATTCCCTGATTTTCCCGCAGACGCGGGGCACCCGACGGGGCCGGTCTGCGGCACATTGGCACAGGAGACAACTTCCTGAATAGAACACCAACAGCACAGGCTCTAAGAGCAACAATCAATAAATGGGACTTCATGAAACTGAAAAGCTTCTGTAAAGCAAAAGACACTGTCGTCAGAATAAAACAACAGCCTACAAACTGGGAAAGGGTCTTCATCAACCCTGTATCTGACAGAGGGCTGATATCCTGAATATATAAAGAACTAAAGAAGTTAAACAGCAACAAATCAGTTAATCCAATTAAAAAATGGGGTACAGAGAATTCTCAATAGAGGAATATCAAATGACAGAGAAACACTTAAAGAAATGCTCAACATCCTTAGTCATCAGAGAGATGCAAATCAAACGGCCCTGTGATTTCACCTTACACCCATCAGAATGGCTAGGATCAAAATCTCAAGTGACAACACATACTGGAGAGATTGTGGAGGAAGGGAAACCTACCTCCATTGTTGGTAGGAATGCAACCTTGTATAACACCTTTGGAATCAATCTGGAGCTTTCTCCACCAATTAGGAATAGCACTTCCTCAAGATCCAGCTATACCACTCCTAGACATATATCCAAATGATGCTCAAGTATACAACAAGGACATTTGCTCAACCATGTTTGCAGCAGCTTTATTTGTAATAGCCAGAAGCTGGAAACAACCCAGATGCCCCTCAGTGGAGGAATGGATACAGAAATTGTGGTACATCTACACAATGGAATATTACTCAGCAACAACAACAACAAAAAAAAAAAAAAAAAAAAAGGGAAATTTGCAGGCAAATGGTGGGAACTGGAAAAGATCATCCTGAGTGAGGTATCCTAGAAACAGAAAGACACACATGATATATACTCACTCATAAGTGGATATTAGACATATAATATAGGATAATCATACTAAAATCTGTACACTGAAAGAAACTAATCAAGAAGGAGGACTCTGGCTAAAATGCTCAATCCCCATTCATAAAGGCAAAAAGGGTGGACATTAGAAGAAGGCACAAACAGGGAACAGGGATACCACAGAGGGCCCCTGAAAAGCTCTACCCTGCAGCGTATCAGAGCAGATGCTGAGACTTATAGCCTAACTTTGGGCAGAGTGCAGGGAATCTTTTGAAAGAAGGGGGAGACAATAAGACCTGGAGAGGACAGGAGCTCCACAATATGAGCAACAGAACCAAAAAATCTGGGCACAGGGTCTTTTCTGAGACTGATACTCCAACCAAGGACCATTCATGAAGATAATCTAGAACCCCAGCACCGATGTAGCCCATGGCAGCTCAGTGTCCAAGTGGATTCCATAGTAATGGGAACAGGGACTGTCTCTGGCATGAACTGATTGGCCTGCTCTTTGATTACCTCCCCCTGAGGGGGGGGGCAGCCTTACCAGGCCTCAAAGTTAGACAATGCAGCCACTCCTGATGAGACCTGAGAGACTAGGATCAGAAGGAAGGAGAGAAGGACCTCCCTTATCAGTGGACTTGGGCAGGGACATGGGTGGAGAAGAGGGTGGAGGGTGGGGTTGGGAGGAGAGGAGGGAGGGAGCAAAAGGGGATACAGAGTGAATAAACGTATTAATAAAAATAAAAATTAAAAAAAAAGAGTAATGAGGGAGAAGAATCCCAGATCAATGGCATAGGCTAGAGTTTTATAAGATCAAAGAAGAAAACTTCAAACTAAGTAAAGACAAACTCATGCATGAAGCACAAATCACACCAAATAGACAAGACCAGAAAAGCATCCCACAGCATATCACAGTTAAAACACTAAGTATACAGAACAAAGAAAGGATATTAAAAGCTTTAAGTGAAAAAAAAAGTTACATATAAACTAAAACCCATAAGTATAACAACTAATTTCTCAATGGAAATTACAAAAGCCAGAGTGCGAAGCAATGCATTTCTAAGTTATAAAAGACAACAGATAATGTAAAGTAACATACAGCAAAACTATCTGCCATAATTGAAGGATAATAAACAGCCTAAACAAATTTATATCCAACAAACCAAACTTAAGGAATTACAAGAAGCACTATTTGACGCTGAAGAAAGAAATGAACAAAGCACAAAGACTGTAGAAAAATGGGATGGCACTAAAACAAAAAGCGCCACCAAGAACACAAAACCACCTAGAACCCCTGCTCAGAGGAAGCCCATAGGAGGCTCAGATTTCCAAGTGGGTTCTCTAGTAAGGGAGGGCAGGGGCTGTCTCTGACATGAACTCAGTGGCATGCTCTTCAATCACCTATCCCTGAGGTATGTAGCCTTGCCAGGCCACAGAGGAAGATGATGCAGCCAGCCTTGATGAGACCTGATAGGCTAGGGTCAGATAGAAGGGAAGGAAGACCACCCCTATCAGGGGACTAAGGAAAGGACATAGAGGGAGAAGAGGAAGGGTGGGTGGGACTGGGAGGAGAGGAGGGAGGAAGCTACAGTGGGGATACAAAGTGAATACATTGTAATAAATAAATTTTAAAAAACATAATAAAAATGTGTAGTACATACTATATAGACAAAGCAATAAAGTATGAGACTCTTTGTGAAATATATATGTGTATATATATATATAAAGAATATGAAACCAAAAACATCAACACAATGATGAGAACTAACAAACATTTCAATACTAACTTTAAATATTAATAGCCTTAATTCTCCAACCAAAAGACATAGGCTGAACAGAATGGATCAAGAAACAAAATCAACGTATCTGTTATCTATAAGAAACACTGAGCCTAACACTCCTAAAGATAGAAACCATTTTAAGATGAAAAGGATGACCAATCCTTTGTACCAAATAATCCTTTGATATACTCCAATCAAACAGGACCAGGAAATAAGCAGGTATTATTATCCAATGTAAATATAATATCAAAGAATAAAAATATTATTTTTAAATTAACAAAAAAGGTCTCTATGAGTTACCAGCACTTTAATAAAGCTTTACTATAATCCCTGAGAATAAGGTCTTCTTTTATATACTTCATATAACTATAAAAAATTTTCTGACTAGCTGGTAGTGTTAAATGGATAATTAGATATTAGTCACCTGAGGACATTGGAGAGTGAAACTTGTTCATATCTCTGGCCCTAGAAGAGATGTGACATACTGACCTTTCCATTAACAGATGTTAATGCCATTAACAGGTAATTACCTGAACCTTGTTCTAGAAGTCCTAAACCTCATAGGATTACTGTCTGTCAGGCACACTGATAAGGGGCAAGAATAGCTCCATGTCCCTTTTTCTAATAGTCAATCAAACAAACAAACAAACAAACAAAAAGCCAAACTAGTCAATATCCTGAACAGGAAAAGGCCCCTCAGAAAAAACTATCTTTTCTAAAAATAGTAGAAATTTGCCCCAAAACATAGGTTGCACAATGATAAGTTTGCCCAGTGTTCACTATACTATAACTATAGGTTATACTATGAAATGATCCCTTTGGCCACTATCCACTTTTATCCCCTTGAGAATGTGCTCAACTTTAATCTGTGATAAATACTTGCTATTTCCTATATATAGTCCATGAATCTGATCTGAATTCCTTCATCAGAGATCATGAGAGCCAGGAAGAAAAGATTCTAGTGTTAAAACAGTAAAAATGTAAAATTAATAAGGCAAGTTAATTTTGAGATCACACCTTTTTTGTCCTGAACTATATAACTTTTGTTTAAATGATATAAAAAATTAATCATTAAAATAAACCTTTATGTGTATAAATATTTTAATTAAAATTATTTGAATCAAATTAAGCACAACCAACAAGGCAATTATTTATGCAACAGACCAGAGAAACCACTTGATCACTACTGTCACGAAGAAAAATATAACAACAAAATAAACCATAAAGGAGGTGTTTTTTTACAACACATTTGCATTGCTATATATTATGTTAAATAAATGATGTTATAAAAATACAGTACATATTAAAGATCAAACCTTCAACAGTATTTCTTCAGCAACAAAACTGTAAAACATCTCATAATAAAACTGTCTATTGCTTCATGGGTATAAATGTCACCATTTTAAAACAGAAGAAAATGTCAAAGTCTCAGCATATCTAGTTCAGGAATGGAATATAGAGAACACTACACCACCTGTCCAACCAGTATACGCAGAGCAATCGTGAGGATCAGCTGTCTTCAGTCCTTCTTCCATTTGTTGCAGAAGATCTTTGATTTTGGTCTGGATACGCTTTATGAAGTTAGGAACAATCTAAAAATCAAAGGTAGAAATTAATTAGATACCACAAGAAGAGAATATCATGAAAGCAATGGAAAGCTGTACTGAATGTAACTGAGAAAGACCTTATTTGGCACAACTCAGGTGTCTAGAGCCTATTCTGGCTTTTCAGAGTTAGTGTTTTAATGAGACAATGCCTTATATGGATTATAACTCCTAAATAGTATCAAAAATAATAATTTGCAGAAATCAAGGACAAGGAACAAAAGAAAAGTAAGGAAACAGAAAATGATTTGATTACACAAACATTGTTGGTCCTTATAAGGAACATATGAAAAATTGGGTGATGGTTAATTTAGATTGTCAACTTGACTGGACTTAGAATCATCTAGGAGATGCCAATGATGTGTCTGTGAGGACAATCCTAAATAGGTTTAAGTGAGAGGAAATATATTGTAAGTATGGGTGACACCAACCATGAACTAGGTTCCATTACTAAGTGAGAAAAGAAAAAGGAGAGGTCAACTGAGTGCCAGCATTTTTCTCCCTCTGTTTGTGACTGAGGATGCAATGTGACAAGACATCTCAAACTCTCATCTCTCAGTGACATGCCTTCAGTATGTACAGGTAAATCTTATGGAGAAATTTTCTCAGTTAATAATGCCTCTTCCCAAATGACTTTAGCTTGTGTAAAGTTGACATACAATTAGGCAATGCAAGTATACAGAATGAAGTAAAGACAGAAACCAGAAATGCAAAAAAGTACCATGGAGTGGGGTGGGAGGAGCAGTATTTAAGGGAATTGTAGAATACAGTAATATGAAAAATATGGGGAAGGGGAGCAGATAATTGAGAAGGAGGCCGATATAAAGGAAGAGGATGTAGGGAGAAACAACACTAAGGATGTTCAAAAAAGCCACAGAGAATCAAATTATTTTTATTTACCTATAATTACATAGATGTTAAGAGTATGTGTATGCATATATAGCTTGAATGAAGATATGCCACTTGGGCTTCCTTCCAGAGGACTTGGCACCTCCATTTCTCTGGCTCTACCTTCTTTAGCACACACACAGCTTGTCTTATAGGGTTGGGTTGCCTTCTTCAGCACACACAGCTTGTCTTATAGGGTTGGGTTGATTCCACATCACAGCTGCTGCTATCTTTAGTGATCATCCCACTATAATGGCATCTCCAACATGTTCAGGTTTCCACTGCAACTGATGCTATACCTACCTTTACCAATAGTCTCTTAAGCTTTCCTTATGATTCTAACCTGCTTCACGGTACCAAGCCTCAGCATTTCTCCATGAGCCCTTTAATCCTGAGGCTCTCATGCCACCAAACAAGTACCACCTGGGAGACTCTTACATGTTACCAAGTTCAGGTACTAGCAAGAGATGCAGCCTTGGACCCTTGTGGATCATTGCTTCTATGTGCTAATGCTGAGAAAATTATCTTAGATTCCATCACAATGATGGAATCTTAGTCACAGCTGAGTTTTTTCATTCTCAGCTAACCAGCATCAACCACTCCAGTAAAGGGTTCACTTCAGTGGTGCTAATGTGTTAATCTTAGTTGATTCTTCAGCCCCAGCTGACCAGAAACCATAGGTTCTTAGTACAAAAATAGAGGCCTAAAAATCTTTGAGGAACTGTCAAACTTTTCTTTTGAAACCTCACAAGCCAGGCTTTCATCATCTGTATTTCTCACACCATTATTATCTTCCCAATTCCCAAGACAGCGGCACCAAGCTCTGAGCTCTTTCAGCCCAAAGTTCAAAAGGCTTCTACAATCCTCCCAAATCCAATAGGGCCAGATCTGTAAGAGCAACATCCCATGAATCAGGTACCAATTTCTTCATTAGTTTAATTTCCATTGCTGTGCTAAACACTGTGACCAAAAACAAGTTGGAAACACTCATCATGAAGGGGACTCAGGGCAGGGATTCAAGGCAAGAACCTGAAAGTAGGAAATGAAGAAGGCATGGGTGAATCTTGCCTACTGGCTTGCTCACCCTGGCTTTCTTAGTTTGTCTCTTTATATATTTCAGGACTACGTAAACTAGAACCTCCTATATCAATCAGTAATCAAGAAAATGTTCCCAGAGGCTTGTCTACAGGCACTCTGAGAAAAGTGCTTTCTCAATTTGGGGTTATTTTCTCTTCCCAGATGACCATAGCTTGTGTCAGGTTGACAAACAAGCAAAAAATAGCACACATAAAAAGAACAAATCAGGCCAAGATGGCAGCACCGGGAAAACACCATGTCTGAGAAGCGGGACAACACACTCCGTGCAGCGACCAGGAGACTGAACTCTGGGCCCTAAAACAACAGCTATCGTGTTTCCCAGGTGAGGAGAGGCTCTCACGGCGTGGGAATCGATCGGGTCCACTCTCGGCTGCCCAGCCAGAACCCGAAAGAGAACCCGGCTAACTCGAGCTTTGCGTCTCCGGGCTGGTACCTCAAGCCTGCTTGTCCCGATCACTTCCCCAGGCTGATCGGGCACAAGGGTGCCTGAGGCTGTGAGTCCCAGTTGCAAAAAAACCCCACGGGGAAGGAAAGTTGCCAGACTGGTCACTGGTCACACAGTCTTTCCCTGGAAGGTCTCTCCGACCACGGGTACCTGCCACCATCACAACTGAACTCCTGCTGCGCACGGATTGCACCTGCACACCCAGCTCAAAATCCCTACTCCCTCTTCGGAGGAGGCAGGAGGCGTCCAGCAGAATCTGCCACAGACCACATTGTCTGTACCCCAACCCGAGATCAGGGCTGAGAAAACCCAATCCTTTCGGGCACTCCCCCAAACGCCCCCATCACCCTGCCGCAGCGGAGCAGAAGGATAAAGAGGTGCACAGCAGCTTCACAGTGCCGGAACTCCAGTGCTGCCGGCCGCTCCTAGCAAACAAACTACAGCTCGGGATCTGGGACTGTGGTCATTCTAAACGTCCTGAGATTATCCTGGGTCCAGCGCAATAAGGTCTAGCAGCAAGTTCTATCACCGGCGCCCCCCCCCCGACCCCTGGCAGAGAAACGCCGGCTCAGGGCTCAGGATCCGACTGAGAAGCCCCAACCCCTGCTGGCACTCCCCTGAGAGCACCTCCATAAGCTTGCCCTAGCAGAGGGGAAGGTCAGAGGGGAAGGACAGAGAGGCAGCCTACCAAGGACACAGCACCCTCTCTCCAGCTCACCCAGTGGCCCCTAGCAGAGAAACCCAAGCTCTGGATCTGAGGGCACTCAACCCTACCCGGTACTCTCTTGGGATCAGCAAACATAGATTCTACCCCTAGGCTGCTTCTGGCAGAGAGATCTGGGCCCCAGATCTGGGATTGAGTACACTCATCCTAACTCTTTCCCGTGCCACCCAGGGACCAGTCAACATAACCCATCCTGGCAGAGGGAAAGGACAAAGAGGCAGCACACAGGAAAGGTGGACACCGAGTCCTGCGGCCACAGTGTCACAGAGCTGACTGTTAGCCTACACATGCACTTCCGCAGCAAGACCAAAACAGAGAGAAGTGAGCAAGGGGAACCCCTGTGCATTTCAACTGGTCCTGCAAGAGAGTGAGGGAGCCTTCTAGGGAGAGATTGTCCCAGACCCAGGGCCTCTCCACAGAAGCAACCAGACGAGATCCCTGCCACCCACAACCCTAGTGTGGGCATCATAGGGATTCTTGGGATAGCGACCCCAACATTGAAGCCTCTGCCATGCGGGTACACCAGGGTAATCCAGGCAAACAATCCCTGGATCTCAGTCAGAACTGCGTAATAGTGGCTTGCAGGCCACTGCAATAGTCAGAGAATCTGCACATGCACACTGCGCCCACTAAAAGCGCATGTGAATAGCGCCAGCGTCACATTCCTTACTTGGGCAAAACTGAAAACACAGTGCACACTCCCAAAGCAGTGAACCTCTCTCATCTTCCTGAAAAAACAGTCCAGAAAACAGAAGAGAGGATCATAGCCCAAACTACAATCTCGAGGAACAACCAGTGAGGATCATAAATAACCAGATGGCTAGAGGCAGACGTAAGAACACTCCCAACAAAAATCAGGACATAATGACCTCACCAGCAACCCCACAAAACAATGGACACTTCAATTCACTAGAT